GCTCAAATCTATGGTTTAAGGACTCCAAGTTTGTATTTTTCACTTAGAATAACACCCGAGATGGAGAGAAACTTGAGATTTTTGCTCACGAAAGTGAAGCTTGGCAACCAAAGAAGGTATCAGGTCTGGTTTGCTAAAAAGTTTCTTTCTTCGCCCGACAGGGAGACTCTTTTGGTAGACATTGTGAGGTTTATCTGTTGCACATGCCGTTCTTCAAGCGAAGATAGTCATGATGTGGATGTGATGCCGAGATGGGCTGTGATTGGTTGGCTGTTGATGTCTTGCAGGAAAGGCTGCGTCCAAGCAAACTTAAAGCTTGGGTTGTTTTACGATTGGCTGTTTTTTGGTGAGGATGACGACATGATGTGTGTCGAGCCAGCAATTTTGTTGATGGTTAACTCTATTCCAAAGTATAGTGATATCACCAATACTCTTCTTGAGTTTCTCTTGATTTTGATTGACAATTATGATGTAGAAAGGAAAGATGTGATAATCAAAGGGGTGTTAAGCGCTATCCATGCGCTTATTAGTAAAGGCGTTATTAAATCACTTGATGTCTTGACTCAGTCCGATATGGTATCTCCCTTGCTAAGAGAAATGCTAGGGAAATTGTTGTCTTTCATGGAAACTGCCCGTTCCAAAGAGGTGCAAACAATTGTTCTTCCACAAAATACTACACCACCTGTCATTTGACATCTTTGTTGGCTATGAGAGCGAGCGACTGGGGTGGCTTACTTTCAAGTGAAGTGGTCTTTACCGGAAAAATCACCTCACCCTATAAAAAGCATTTGCCAGGAAAATGGTTTAACAGTAAAATTACACTTATATATTGCTTATTTAAGAAAGAATTCTAATGATGCTTGTTCAGAAATGCAATCTACAATATTTGTTAGTGGCATTAATGCCTGAGTTGCCTTATCATTTCTCACTGGTCCTTGAATCCCCAGAATGACAATATGGTGATGTACATCAATAGTAGGAACGAAGAGGCCAGTAAAATTACTGTCAACGTGCTTTGAGGGCTTCACGCTGGCATGGTGCACCACATGGACACGGTCTGGTTCTGATTCCAGGCCGGCTTGTCCCAATTTATTTTTTTGTAGTGGTACCTGGAACCTATAATACCAGCTCCTGTCTTTAATTTTTATAAATGTATATCATCATACAAATTTAAATTAATTAATTAGAAATGTAAAGATGTGCATTATAATTATTATTAAGATATTTGTATTATTTATGTTTTATATAATGTATGGGATTTAAATACAATTGTAACAAAAAAAATTACAAGTGTAACAATTTGGCAAAGATATGTATACATTGTTTATTTCAATTATGAATATATTACAGATATTTATGTATAAATTGTAAGAACAAAATGGGTTGCACTTGAAGACTCCTCTGGTCTCCCAACAAAAAATATTGGGAGATATTTTTTTTACAAAAAATATTGGGTTGTCCAATGGGTAAACAGAAAAAAAGTAGCCATTGGGAGTTGGGACCAGAATTGGGATTAGGCCTGGTCCCAAAAAATTCACTCAGATTGCTCAAAACCAGAAAATTTACCCAGTCCCGATTAAAAACCAATCGGTCTGCCCAATTCCGGCCTGCCAGAGTGCCAGCTATCAGTGCTCCTGAAAATTACAATAACTAATTGTAATTTAATTACACAATAAATAGTGTCTCATTTGGTTAGAGTATAATTATGATATTTAGTAATGAGTAGATATTATACTCCCTCCGTCCCCGAAAGAAGTTCTCACTTTCCTTATTTGGATGTCTCTAATTTAAGTTCTCATTTCCTTAAATGGAAAGTTATCTACATCAAAATGGTGCCAAACAGTGCAAAACAGTGTCAAACAGTGCAAAACAATGTCGAAACAGTGTCAAAACAGTAAAATTTACCCCTGGTAAGTTTACTTGCATAAAAGTGTGTGAAAGTCAAATGTGGAACTTCTTTCGGGGACGGAGAGAGTAGTAGAATTAGAAGAAAATTCTCAAAAACTATGATACTTTGTGATAGAGTAATTCTAGAGAGCTGTGAGAGTTAGAGAGATAAAGTGAGTAATTATATTTCTCAACCCCCTATAATTAGCCCCTTGGGGTCTATTTATAGGTAAAAATGTGGGTTTGGGCTCCTAACCTTGGGCTTAGGAGACCCATTACAATAATCATGCCTTCTTTGGGCAAATAGGGTCACTAATGGGCTGAGTACAACACTTGGTAAATAAACTAGGAAAATACATTCTGTTTGGACGAAAGTCCGGACGATGCGGTCCATGGACGATGCGGTCCATAGACGTCGCGGCCACTGGGCTGTGGCCTAAGAGGGCCGAGTGATATCTTCTTCTCTGGACGTTGCGGGCCTCCGACCGATGCGGACGTCGCGTGGGTGTCCTGTTGGTGTCTTTTGGCCCGTTGAGTATGTGGGCCATGGGGTCTAGGCCCATATACTCTATCACTTTGTTTATAGGTTGATGTGGCAGTTACACTTGTATGTGGTGTTTGGAACTAATTCTGTTTGTGCTTCTTTTTTAAAGTAGAAGCAGAATCAGAATAAGTTTTCAGAAGCTGGTCTCCACCAGCTTCTAAAAAAACTGATTCTAGGAGTAAATTAGAGCACTAGATCACTTCTGCACTTTCACCCAAACACTCTAACTTCTGCTTCTGCTCTCTGAAGGAGCAGAAGCAGTTTTAAGAATCAGATCCAAACACCCCTATATGTGTTCATCTCTAAATAGAAGTACCGAGTATGGAATAGATATTTTTCCTAACTAACATTGCTAACATTGAGTAAGATGGAAAATTGCAAAAGGGTTAATTGTTAGTTTTTAGTATTGATTAACGCGATACTCTCTTAACTAAAGTTTTTTCTCATAGAGTAGGGGCTTTCAAACGCGTATATATGTCACATATTAATTTACTTCTTTCTTTAATGTTGCACTGTGAACTGAAATCAATCAGCTTTTTTTTACTCTTGGGGGCGTCTGGGGGAGGGGGACTGAGGGAGTCTGGAGTTATCTAGGCTGAAATTCAGCCCATTGTGTTTCGAATTTGAGACCTCCCGTAATGGAGAGTGAGTTAGCGACAAGTTGGGCTGGACCGCTTACTCATCAATCAACATTTTATAAATTACATAGACACACACTTCAAGATATCGTCATAGACTCTGATTCATAATAAAAGGTATAAAGAGAGGTTTGAATTCTCTAACTTGACAAGATTTGTGAAAATCTAGATCAAATGCTTAAATTCTTTTTTATTGCTATTAAAGTTTTTTATTTATTTTCTCTCTACTATTTTGTTTAGAGGCACAGATAATTTTAATGTAGACTTATTCACTAGACAATGTAAATCATAGATTGTTTTCAAAATAAGAGTAAAAACAATTTAAAAATTAAAAATAAAAGTACTATATTTTTCTTGAAACATTGGAAATTACGTACAGCACTCTTCAAATGATACTCCAAATGATACTCCACTATTATAATTTCATATTACCGGACGTTAATGTGATAGTGTTAATGTTATGATTGACAATCATGTCTAATTGTGATCATAATTAGACCTATGTTAGAAACATAGAAAACTTGTAACATGCTACTTTTTGAAATTTAGATTTCTATTCATATTTATTCAAATTCTTCAAATCTTTTAAAACAAAGTGAAAAAAGCTATAAACAACTTCTATAAGTGTGGTCAGCACACAGACCGGATCGGATCGGATCAGAACCTGCTTAGATTGAAACCGGAATTACAAAAGTGAATGGATCAAAGAACATACCAAAATAATTATGGTCCCATACTAGATTGAGGGCTTGTTTGCAATCACTTAAGAAAAGTGATTTTTGCTTTTTTCTAAGAAAAAAGCACTTATTTTACCAAACACTACCAACTTTTACTACTAATCATTTTTTTCCAAAAAGTACTTTTATTTACGCACAAATGGTTGCAAACAAAACCTGAATTATTTCAGTTTTGATAGGACCGGACGGCTAGGGACTGGATTGTACTTTCGTTTATCTTTATAAATGTTTCATCTTTTACAAAATAGGTTTGGTTATTTAAAAATTACCTTGTTAGCTTGAAATTTTTATTATGTTTTTATGTTGATTTATGTTTGGTCTTTTATACTAGAACAAAAAAAAAATCCTAATGTGATCATATTAATTCATTCCTAAACTAAGTGATTATTCCAACATCTTGTAGGTAATGAGTTAAGTGGATTCAATGTAGTGAATGGCACAGACAATGAACGGACAAACAGGCCTCCTTGTTGGGCCGCTCCCAAATTGGGCCTTGATGGGTTTCTTGTTAAGGGATAATGGGCCGCTTCTGTGTCGGGCCTATTAACCCAACAGAATGGTTTAACTCATTAGCCCTAAAAATTTAATAAAAAAATAGCTCCATTAATCATGTATGCAATCCCTGGAAGCTAAATTGAAAAAGCAAAAGAAAAAGTGTTTGACGAATCTAGGCGTTTGATTAAGCTCTCTGGACAATCAATTAGAAGCCCTGGACGGCCGACTAATTCATCTAGACGTGAAATCAATTAATTGGGGCACACAGACTAAATTTAGGACATCCGATCACTGCCTAGCCTACCGCTTAGACAGGAATTAGGCAAAAGTCTTGTCGGATCCTTAGAGCAATTTTAAAAAAGGATAAGCTTATTAAACATTTTGAAATAGGTCCGACCTCTTTAGGCAAAGTCTTGTCAAACCTGTTTCCACCCCTAACATGTACAGAAACTAGAATCGCAAAAATCTTTGGACTGAAGACCAGACCGACATATAACTGACCTGGGTCTAGCTTGGACCGACTAGTCCGATTTGGTCCAGTTTTCTGGTCTAGTTCGGATAAAGGCAGAGATAAGGCCGACCCATGTTTTCTTTTACAAAAAAATACAAATAAAATGACGCATAAAATATTTGGAAATTCAATTTTCCCGCGTAAACAAAACTGGCGCATTATTCACACATTCAACCACTACCCACTTCCGCGGCTGAGCTATCCCTCTCAACTCAGTCACGACGCACTCAATTCATCCGTCCCTCTCTCTCACTTCACTCTTTCTCTCTCAAAACCGTAACCCTAACAATGCCCGATTTTACGAATGTTCTTGAACCACCGCCACCGCAACCACCGTCCCAGCCACCGTCGCCACGAATGTCTTGCCTCAATCATTATGCCGATGACCCGAATTCGAAGTCCGCATCTCAAAATGGCAACGAAGACTGTGACCCAATGCTCCAGAACCCCAAGACTGACTTGGAACCCGGTTACCTTGACACCGGATTTTGTACTAAGCCCGACTCCACGATTGAGAATCCGGACTCCGACTTAAGTTCAGAGCCAGAGCTCCGGACTGTGCTACGAGAAGATGAGGCAATGTGCCAGAGTAACGGAGGATCTAGGGTTACGGTCAGCCAGAGTGGTGGTGCTGAGAGGCCTGCTACCACAAACAAGAGTCTGGATGAGTTTGTTAAAGATTGGGTCATGCGGAGGGTCGAAGCTGGCGTTTCTGAACAGCGTTGTTTTTTGCCGTTCCTAGCTCAAGCTCCCAAATTGGTAAAACCCCCTTTTTTTGCTCATCGGTTTCCTGCTGATTGTCTCCGTATGTTTTCACTCCTCCTGTGAATTGTTTTTTAAAGTTTAGATATCCTCAAAGTAGTGGTAGTATAAAATGCCGTTTCAGAAACATTGACGTTTCCGTGAAAAATCCTGTTGAGATCAGGGTCGTGTTTAGAGAAAGGTAGGCCTGAAAAAAAAAGAAACTTAAGTGAGGCCTATCTTCAGAGAAGATTACAATGCTATATTAAAATAAGGAGCTAACGCACACCAAATGAATAAATAAATTATAGATGAATTAATAAATACTATCTATAAAACAAACAAAAAAACTGATTGGATAGAAAAAAAATCTAATCAGAAACTTGAGACATGGAAAAAATAGAGTAAACAGATGAATAATGGGATGTTAGAAATTTCCGGAGAGAGGACTAATAGCACCGTGCACTGAAATTGTGAAGACTCGAGAAGTATGACCATATGAAAGAGAGGCAATTCGGAGAAGAAGAATTGAGAGAGTATAGAATTATAAGAGGCTTAAATTGGTAATTGTTATATATTTATTAGGATGTCTTGTGATATCCGTTGGGGCCTTGTGGAGTTCTGGTAACGATTAGTCTTCCACAAGATAAGGATTAAATTTTCAATTCCTTTATAATTGATTTGCGATCATTTCAGAACACATTACTAAATAATATGGAGCAATACATAAACATTACTAATATGGGGTCTTAAATTTTTGGGGCCTGAGGCAGAAACCTCAAGAGCCTAAAAGGCTCTACATACCTGTGTTGATCACTATCATTAACTCTGTATATAAACTTATGAATTATAAGGAAAACTATTCTGTTTTCAATGTCAGGCAAAAGCTACTTTAGCATCCTTCATCACATTTCATTTAGAAATAAAGAATGAATTAGCATCTAAAAGTTGAAATGATCTAGTCATTTACAAATGATCTTGTCATTTACAAATCAAATTTGCATATACTTGGTAGACTCAAACCAGCTTGTCCATTTTCAATGCCACATCTCACATGAGCATGTAATACTGCCTGAGCAGTGAGCACTTCGTAATTAGAGTTTATAACTACATACCTTTAGACACAGCTCTCTATGGAAATGAAATTTAGGTGGATTATTGGATGATTTGGATAACTGAAAAAAGTAACAACTGGAATTAAAATTCTATTGTGCAGTGCAGATAAGTGATGGTTTTTATTTTTTTCTCATTCAGGCTGAGTGCTCTGTCTGCCTCAACTTAATTCTCCCCGGTGAAGACATATCGTGCTCTGTTCGAGGGTGTCAGATAGTTGTACACCAGCAATGTGCAAAAAAAATCCAGTGTTTTTCTTCTGCAAAACAATTCAAGTGTCCTCAGCATGTAAGCATCACAGCGAACTGTAAAATAACCACCCAATTAATCGTTCATTACACTTTCGAATTCTCATAACTCATGAGTTCTCCATATTTTATGATCAACTTATTCATTCAAGTAATCAAGTTTTTAACTTCCAGTTGATAACGTATCTTTTTTATGCTTATCATGATGGTGCAACTTTTATTTTCTGGTATTTTTCATAAGGAAAAAATATTATTTCTACTTGACATTAAGATTTGCAGTCACTTGAACAACTTGATTATGTATTTCCACCAAATATACAGTACAAGCAGAAATTTCTGGCTGACATTTTTCACATGCTCAAGTAATAGTGTGATATTTATCCAGTATGATTTGACGAGATTATCTTCCACATTTTCCCATTGTCAGGTTCCTTTTGCTCCACTATTAAGCTTTTTATCCAGAAATAACATATTATTAATCCTATTTCACGTGTTTTTTTTCCATTTTAAGAAAGACTAAGGGGATCATTGGTGGAAAATCTAAGAGGATGAGACCCATAATGATGCATGCCACAGTGTAATATTTTGGAAAGATAAAGAGAGCAGCAAGTATAATTATAAGGATTGGTAGCTGATTGATTTGCTTAATTGATTTTAATACCTTAAGAAGAATCAAGTGAAATTGCAAAAGGAAAACTCCCCAAATTTTCACAGCCCCTTTCATTATCCCTTCTTAAATTTACTTTAATGGCACAAAGAATCCGGGTACATAACCCACAAATTGTTTTGGGTTTCGATCCAGGATTTTCTTCTTTGATTTTCATATCTGTCCAGATCTTCTTATGTTTGGAAATTTGGGGGCTATCTTATTGTTTTGCTTATACTCTTATGCTTGATAAAACTCCTGTCCTTATTGTTGCTTCTGGATGCTTTCTTTTTCAAACTGAGACAGATTCCTGATTGTGTTAGTGTATTACTTGTCCAGATTTTCTTAATCGTGAACCTTTCTCTAAAAAAGTGTTTTATTTTACATGAAAATAAGGGAGCTAAATTTTATGGGCAAGAGGTCACTTTAGATTCCATAGAAAGTTGGACTCGTTTGCTTGAGAAGTGATTTCATAGGAGCTCTCTAGTTGAGCTCTTAAAGAATGTTCTACTTGTTGTAACTAAGTGCAACTTATATATGTAGATGTGTCTCCTCTTCCTTGAACAGGTATGTTACTCTTGTAACAAAACAAATCACATATGGAGATGCATCAAGTGCCTTATGGCATCACATGACAAATGTGCAGCATTTCCTGAGTATGTTATTCATCTTACTAGCCATCCAGGGCAGGCCATCTGTTGGAAACATCATGCAGATTGGCACCTGCAAAAGGAGGTCATTTTCTTCCATTGTTCAATAGTGTGATTTTTTAATGTGACATTTAGGCCCTTAAACTTGTGCGTATCAGGATATGTTCTTTCTTTGCTTATAAACTTGGGATTATTAGTCCATGCATGCATGTGGAAAGAATACGAAATGAGGTGATAAACTTAATCAACCTTGAAGATAGATTAAACTTCAAATGTCATCTTAAGATAAAATGGTTGTATCCTGATTTCCAACAATGTTTCCTCACGTTTTAGTGTCAATAATTGTAGATGATTGATTCTTGACTATTACTCCCTAGTTAGTAAAGCCATGACGAACGGAATGCAGTTATATAGTATAGTTGTAGTATGCTTTCTGTTAGTTTATCACTTGATTGCTATTTTGATTGATTAGGCTTGCTGACAGGACTGACATATCTTGTTGGATGAGCAGCATAAAGATCCAATCAAAAGTATTGAGGTTAGGCAATTGATTCCCATGTGTTTATCTTTTCTTCGGTCCTAATACCTTAGTTATCACTACTAGCTCACTTTACTGGCTAAAACTTATATTCTTGATGTCAGGAAATATTCAGTTACCTGCCTCTACCATACACAGAGGAGGAGTTTAAGATCAACTTAAACTGGAAGGACACAAATGATTGTAATTTGGAGCCACCTCGTTATGAGCCAATCAGGCGGAGTATCCTATGCATTTCCAGCTTTGCATGTCAATTTTTTTTTTACTTGTGAAATCAGTATTCTTACATGTTTAAAATGAACCAAATGTCTGCTATATTAGCTTTATTCCCCCCTTTCCTTATGGATCCACTGTTCCACTCTCCATTTTGAATTGTGACATAATTTGATGGGGATTTGAGTTTTAGGTTTGAAGTTTGAAATTATATGGTTTCTATCTAAGATCCACTATGTTGCTTCTAACGTGTGCATTTCGCTGACTAATTTGAATATGAAATTTAGGTCATTTCATTTTATTAGATGTTGTGGAATATGAAGTCACGATGAAATAGTCCATAAATGTAACTGTAAGATATACTGCTTTAGTCAAGATGTTGACAAAAAGATGCATCTCATGTAAAGCTCTCTTTTTACAGAAAAGGTGCATGCCATCATGAATAAGACAGCCGGGAGTACTTAATTTTAGTCCAAATAAGTGAATAGCCATTTTTTAGATTCATTGAAGTTGTATTACATGATAAATCAACCATGAATCGTAACTTTAAAAGTAGACAGATGATTTCCCTTGACTGATCTAGATGTGTACCTCATCAAGAAAAAACGTGACAATCTCGGTGCTGATAATGGATGCACAAATTGCAGTTCTACGAAATGTTTAGACAATTGTATCTGCAGGTTTGTCATTTCATGCTTGACTTTTCTCCACTCGTGATATAATATCCCTTATGAGTTGGCTAACTATAAGTTTCCGATCTCTGAGTTCTTAAATTTTGAAGAAAGATTTTAGTAGGCCTATTGTGTTATGATGCATAACTGCACGAGAACATTGATAGAGTTTATAACATTATCAGAATATGTGCAATTATCTCCCCCCCCCTTTTGAGAATACTCAAATTTTATTCGTGCAGAAATCAAAATCACATGATTGGGGGGGGGAGGGCTAAACCTTACCCATTACTATGTGCAACTACAGTAATGATGAAGAGGAGAGAAACACATTAGTCCAACTAATATGCAAATGCGTTGTCCATCCAATGATGTGCCTGCAAGCTAATATTAATTCTTAATGTGTTTCTCTCCTTACAGAACCTGTTTTGCACCTTCCTCAGAAACCCATTTCTTGCCATCCTCACTGACCTCATTCCAAACATAGTGAAACTTCTCCCACAGGCTGCAGCATTCTGGAAAATTCTTATCATAATATTCTTAGTTTTTCTTAGATGAAATAAGCTCCACTGGAATGAGCCTAATAAACTCTGGGTATAAACCAATAGGGTAAGAAAATCATGCTTGCATGTGAAGTTGTAATGCTTCTGGATTTTAGGGTTCAGTCCATTAGCTGCTCAAAGGCTTGTCGCTGCTCTGGTAAGTGCTCAAATAGGCCATTCAAAGAAGAGAAAAAGATTAAACTAGTCAAGGTGAGATTTCTATCAATGCAAAACAATTTCCTTACTTGATATGGCTATACAACTTATTTCCTTAAAATTGTTGAGATGTATTTATCCTTACAGAATTTGGATTAAATATCTATTTATTATTCCTCTAATATAACTATGTTTGTATTGCAATCAGACTGAACTCTGTGGTTGGGGTGTTGTAGCAGCTGAAGCTATCAAGAAGGGGGATTTCATCATAGAGTATATTGGAGAAGGTGATTCTTCAATTTATTGATTGTCTGATTCCCTCATTTACATACTCTACAGTTTTATGACTTTTATCTGAGAATATTTGCTGGTCTTCATTGTACAATCTAATACATTATCAAACCCTTTAGAATGTTGATGCAGATTACACATTCTTTCATGCAAAATCCTAATCTTCTTGCTAAAACAACTAAAATATACTATTGGATCATTATGCATTTATTTGTGATATTTCATGTTCTGCGATGGAGGTGAAATATTACAAATAAATGCAAAACCCAAAAGAGTTTGTTAGCCGATCCCAAACTCTTTTGGGACTAAGGCTTGGATTTTAATGTTGTATTTCATTTTCTGCAATAAGTATATCACGGGGAGACGATGTTCATCTTGAAGTGTATCTTGTGATAAAAATGAAGTATCTCTTTCTCCAGCAAATGCTACAATTGTTGCATTCTTGCCTATGTATTTGCATTCATACTCTTATATTCATTGTCCAAGATGTAATCTATTTTTGTTTGTTAACTATGCTTTTAGAAACTCACTTTGGCATCCTTTGTTTTGCATGCATACCCAATTTTCAATTGGACCCTTTTATGTTTTATCATACTTTTTGTCCTTGAACCTTCCAGTACTCCGTTGCTAGACTGTGATGTCTCCCTTTATGGACATAACATTTTCACACTTACTCTCTTGGACCTAATAGATAAAGATTTGCTACATGGGAAGGTTAAATGTTACCAAGTAAAGGAAGTTTTCAAGTTCATTTCAAACTGGGGGGGGGGGGGAGCATGCCAACTTGTAGAAATTTCATGCGTTCAACTTGAGCATTATTTTTCCAGTAGCCAATATCTCTTATTGTATGTTTCAGTAATTGAAGTTCGATGTTGTATTTCTCTCACATGGATTGAAGTTTTAATGTTGTATTTCACTCTTTTAGTAATTGATGATGCTATGTGTGAAAAGAGGCTTTGGGAAATGAAATACAAGAGAGAGAAAAACTTCTACATGTGTGAATTATGGAAGGATTTCACCATTGATGCAACTTTCAAGGGAAATTTCTCACGTTTTCTGAATCACAGCTGTGATCCCAACTGCAAACTGGAGAAATGGTTAGTCCGCTCTATTAGAATTCAGAATCACATATATATTTACTTACTCATTTACACACATGCATATTTACATATCCTTTTCCAAACAAAAAGATGGCACTTACCATTGGTGATGCTGCCTGTGTTGCACTAAAATAAACTCATATATGTAAAGATACAAACTTGTTTTGCATGTATGTATAATTATAAATTTTAAGTTAAATAAATGTAAATACCTGGTTATGCAGGGTTTTGTGACTGTCATATTATCTAATGATGATAATCATGTTCAGCCAGCAAATCATGATTTTGTTCTTCTGTTTACCGTGGAATATTTTGAGTAACAACGTCTCTGACCCATATACATGCAATGAATGCATAGAAATATTGGATTGAATTTATTGTGATGTGTGGCATAGGTATGTTTGACACTGATAGAACAACTGCTAATATGTTTGTTCCTTCACTATAGGCAAGTTGAACATGAGACACGCGTTGGTGTGTTTGCTGACAGGGACATTGAAGTGGGAGAGCCGTTGACTTATGACTATAGGTATGCCACCTTATTGCCATTACATGATTTCAGTGTCTGAATTATCTTTATAATATAATAAGATGAAACTTTGAACCGTGGTTGTCACGACGAGTTTGAATAAACAGCCATACTTTGGATATGCATACCTAGGGGCGTAGCCAGGGCGGCTCGGCCAGTACACAGTTTTTTTATAAAGTTTAACATGATTTTTATACACTAATACGGAGTAATTGATTTTAAAAAAAATGAGGTGGACCGGGTCCTAGCATGCTCCCCAGCTCCCCTGGTGTGCATATTTGAACTTTATGCCCTCACATTTTTTTGCTTTGAGTGCATGTGGTAGAGTTATGTTTTCGAGATTCAATTCCTTTACTGCTTTGCTTTGTTTCATGCAATTTAACTTAAAATTACCAATTCACTTATATGTCTCACAATAATTTTAGTGAAACCAAGAAAAGTATTAAAAATTTGAAGTAGCAATCGTGATATTTATGGTGATTGTACACTTGTGTGTTACCAAAACTTTAGAGTTCTATGTTGGTTTCATTGATGAAGGGTGAAACTATTTGTTTTAGCCTTTCATTGCGGTTGTTTTTATGGCAAAACTTATGCTCAAGTGCTACTCAACACTCTGTAGTGCTGTAGTTCTCAAAGGGGTCAAGTTATCAATTAGTACAGGGTTATGAACTTATGATTCTTATGCATGTTGTAAAATCTCACAAGGCCACATTTACCCCTACTCATTTTCCACTTTTTGCAGATTTGTACAGTTTGGGCCAGAAGAGAAGTGCCATTGCGGCACCCGCAAGTGTCAAGGATTTCTTGGCACCAAAAAAAAGATTGGTAGTAGGGTAGAGTTTTGTTGGGGTAGTAAACGCAAGAGAACCTCTACTTCTTGTGTGGCCACAGTTAAAGTCAATCCGTTCTAATCCATTTTCTGTGTGTTTAGATATTCACCGGCTTTGTATTTTGGTTTCTCAACCAATGAAAAGTGGAGGATAGGATGAGGGGGAAAATGGGAAGACAATCGTCTTTCCTTTGAGGTGCTTTTTAAAATGCATCCCCCCTTGAAGAAATCAGGGAAAATGGGGAAGAACACTAAACAACATTGAAATTTTGCGAGACTTTAGTATGTGCTTCAATGTACGTGTTTCGATTTGTAGTTGTTTTAACCGTTAGTTATGATATCTTTCAAAATAAAACCGTTAGTGATAATAATAATGTTTATAAGATAGTACTCTTCAAATGGTTGTTTTGATGTACATTTCCGATTAGGAATGAAATCTCTGATTTTTATAGAAAGAGAATACCTCACCATCACAATTGACAACTGCCAATAAGTCATAGGCTATCCAACAGTTAGTGCCACAAAGTCACAAACCACAATATTGGAATTACAAGTGGTGGTGTACATTTTCAATATGTGAATACGTTATTTGATCCATACTTAAAAAAATGTTTGGATATTGATTTGTTCAAAGTTCTATCATATCCGGAACGGAGTAATGCAGAAAGGATCTTTATCGTAGGGTTTGTAAATTGTAAGTGTATATTCATGTGGAAAATTCCCCCTGCACACAGATAGTTTTTACACATCGGTCAATTTGTCTGTGTACAGAAAAATGGTTAACGTTTATGAAAAAATTGATTTTCACACAGACAAAATAAAAAACTTGTCTTTATCATAGAAATTTTAAAATTTTCGTTTCAAATTGTTGTCTAAAATGTCTGTGTGGAGATCGGTTTTCTTCATGAAATGCTTATCAAATTGTATATACACAGACAATTTGACCGGCGTATACACGGACTGGACTCTATTTGTGTATGCGAATGAATAAGGGCCAATAATGACCTAGAAATGCATATTTGGCCCTTCCTATTTGATTCTTGTTAGGGCCATGGGGAGAGAAAATATCACCAACATGAGTGACAGAAACTCCGAGGATAACCTAACAATTTACACTTTAATAAGGGCCAATAATGACCTAGAAATGCATATATTGGCCCTTCCTATTTGATTCTTGTTTTTGTTAGGACCATGGGGAGAGAAAATATATCACCAACATGAGTGACAATAACTTCGAGGCTAACCTAACAATTTACACTTTAATAAGGACCAATAATAACCTAGAAATGCATATTTGGCCCTTCCTATTTGATTGTTTTTGTTAGGACAATGGGGAAAGAAAATATATCACCAACATGAGTGACAATGACTTCGCAGCTAACCTAACAATTTACACTTTAATTTAGATGTAGAATGTTTGGAAGGCGGATCAATTGATGGTTATTTTAATAGTTAGATAGTGGGAGCAGCCCACATGGACATGCTAACCCCACAAGGGCCGCAACCAAAATACACGTGTACTATTCACGCGTGAACAATAGTTTTTTTTGTTTTTATTTTTTTCTTGTCCCATTAATAGGATAATGTAACTCACGTTGATAACAAAGTCGAAATGTAACTTGTCTAATATGAAATATAAGAAATAAAATATTCATTTTAATGTAAACAATGAAAACCAGAATCTAGTTGCTCAATTATTTTATGTAAATAAGGAATATGTTTTGTTTTTAATATTTAGGCCATACAAAATGTTTTCTAAAAATCATTTCTTTCCCATATTTTTTTTTGCCAGAAAATTCATGTTTTTTTGCAAAAAAAAAAAGCAGGGGTTTATTTTATGATGTAACTCGTGTTATAGAAAATGTAAATCACGTAGACGAAAATCTAACTTCGGTATATGCAAATGGAACTTGTTGAGACAGGTCCAAATGTAACTCGTGCATAAAAAGATGTAACATACGCATAAAAAGATGTAAAACGCGCATAATTAAGAAGATGTAACTTCATGTTCTATCAAATGTAATTATGTAAACAATGAAAACTCAGAGTCCAATCAGTCAATTAATTTACATAAATAGTGAATATGTTTTGTTTTTAATATTAAGGACACAAAAAATGTTTTACAAAAATGTTTTTTAATAACATGAGTTTACTTTATGATGTAACTCGTGTTATAGAAAATGTAACTCGCGTTGATGAAAATCTAACTTAGGTGTATGCAAAATGTAATTTGTTGAGACAAGCCCAAATGTAAGTCACGCATAGGAAAATGTTACTCCCGCATAAAAATATGTAACTCGCGGGCGAGAAAATGTAACTCTATACACTATCAAATGTAACTCTAGAAATTGTCTATAAACATAACTCACACATGTGAAAATGTAAACCACACATATGAAGATGTAATCTCATATTTTACCAAATGTAAATCAAAATAAACAAATTTACAAAAACACTAAAAGCATATAAAAGAGATAAGAAATATATTATAGGAAAAAACGTATGAGTATTAACAAATATATTATAAAAAAGTGTATAATACAAAAACAAATTACAGAAATAACAATTGTGTATAAATGTGAAATATGATATACTTATTTTATTTATATTGATATTAAAAAAAGTGTATAATAAAAACAATATTACAAAAAGTGTATAATACAAAATAATATTACATATTATTTGGGGCGGTTCCCGGTAAAATAATAATAATATTACATATATAAAAATAGTGTATGAATGGGAAATGTAATATACTTATTTTATTTAGATTAATATTTTTTGGGTAAGAATTGATAAAGAATAAAAAATAAATTGATTTGTAATTTAAGTTGAAGATAAAGAAAAGTGAAATTGTAATTACATTTTTAGTATTTGATGGAAAAGAAAAAAGAATTGTAGAAAAGGAAAGGAAAAGTCAAAAGGAAAGGAAATCGGAAGAAAAATAAAGGAGTAAGTGTGATCAGCACACCATGCACATGGTGTGCCGATCCCATGATATAATTTGCATGTGTTTACTTGTATTTATCTTTTTAGTCTAGATTTGGTTGTATTTGATATGATTTGTTTAAGTCTAATCTGAATACTTTTGACCTTGTTAGATCATAATTAGTTTGATTTGATCTTATATCATGTGTAGTTTATTATTGTCTGAATTTGGTTTACTCGGGTTTGATATAATATATGATCTGGTATTGTTTTTTTTTTCATAATTTGTACATCAACTCATTATTAATCTTATTATTTTACTTGCTTACAATCAATATCTTGTAAGAATAAATTTATTCAAATGTATTATTGTAACTGTCCGTCTGTCCGGACAGGATCTTTTGTCCAGCTGCTTCCATTTGAGGCGGTTCTTTGAAAAGTTTTTATGAAATTTTGTGGGCATGTTCTTCGGGGAATATAGGCTATGTCTAAAAAGTTTCAGCTCGATATGCAATTCAGAAGTCGGTTAAATAAATTATTGAAAAACATCTTGTTTTTATATATACTACTATTCCACCCGTGCGATGCACGGAGAATGATTTATTCAAATTCAACTACTAAACACAATACGTATTTAAAAATTTACAATACGAAGAGTCCATCAATCAATTGTGAATCTCATAACAATTTTTTTTTGTAAAGTAGTAATGTGAAAAATATGAAAATATAGAAACAACTCTCATTGAACAAAATCAAGATGCATACCCCGGGGATCATTTCCCATTGTATAATGATTTACTTCGTATTATATGAATATATACTTCATGGGGGCAGACCCAGGAAGTTTATCTTGGGAGGGCAGTAACTTAAACAAAATATTTTTTGAGAGGGCGAAAATTATATATACAAAAAATAATTGTTGGGGGGCGACCGCCCCTTGGATCTACTACGGCCTACTACGGTCCCAACAATTGGTATCAGAGCGAGGTTGAGTTTCCATACACTGTTTTCTCATTTTCAGATAAATTTCTACAGGTTAGAAAATCGTGATTTTTCAAGTTGCTTGGAATCACAATCTGATCATACCGTTAGATTCGTCTCGTCGAGACGAGAAATCTGGTATTTTTGGGGATTTTTTTGGCCACCGGAAGAGCCCGTACGCGCCGCCTGGAAACCGCCTGCGTCATCACGCAGTCTAGAGGAAGAAGACGAGCCACGCCAGCGCCACGTCAGTCCACGTCAGCCGCCACGCCAGCGTCATGTCAGACCATGTCATCGCCACGTCGTGCTGAGTCATCGTCCACGTCACCCACTCATTCGTCCTTCAGACGCCACGTCATCTGCCACGTCAGCGCCAGCAGAGCCACGTCATCCGCCTGATGGGCCGCAGGCTGGGCTGCTTCCAGAACCGGGCCGAACCGGTTCGTAGTTGTGGAGGCCGGTTCACCCATTTCCAGACCGGTTTTGGACGAGGTCAGACCGGTTCCTACCATTTTCGGCCATTCCGGATCCAACGGTGAGCTCCGTTTGTCCAAATTCGGCTCCGAAAATAAGGTACGAGATATTTTGAGTGTTTTATTATGGATAAATCATCATCGGACACCATGAATGCGCTCACTTCCACAAATTACAATATGTGGAAGCCTCAGATGGAGGATTTGCTAAATTTGAGGGATTTAGCCGATCCTCTTGATAATAATGGCGTGAAACCGGATAAAAAGACGGATGAAGAATGGATAAAAATGAATCGAAAAACTGTCGCACAAATTCGACAGTGGATAGATCATAGTGTGTTCCTCCATGTTGCGCAAGAACAAAGTGATTACACACTATGGGAGAAGCTTGGTAGCATTTATCAAGCGAAAACCGCACGAAATAAGACTTTACTAATGAGGCGATTAGTAAACCACAAATTACGAGGTGGTATTTCGGTGTCAGAACACACCAGTCAATTCCAGGATCTTGTGAATCAGTTGAGCACCACCGGATGGGTTCTAAAAGATGAAGAACATGCGATACTACTCTTGAGCTCTCTACCTGACAGCTGGGAGACTCTTGTTGTTACTCTCAGCAATTCTGCTCCCAATGGCAAGGTGACTATGCAGATGGTCACATATGCCCTTATGAACGAAGAAGCCCGAAGAAAAGAAGCTGGGACTGAACAATCATATGCCTTCGTGTCAGAAACCAACAGACGAGGGGGAGGCAGAAATGGAGGAAGAAGTAGAGGTCGAGGTAGAGGCCAAGGTCAAAACAAAGGAAATTCTCAAGTTCGCGGCCGATCACAAGAACAAGGTATGTCCTGTGAAAACAATACTTGGTTTGAAGGATATTGCAACTACTGTGGTAATTATGGGCATAGAAAAAGAGATTGTAGAAAGTTTCTACGAGAGCAGCCACAGGCGAGTCAAAATATTAGCCAAGAAGACGGTGAGACCATGATTAGTTTGTCATCA